AGTTTTGGTTGGTGGGACTCATACCAGAACTTGAAGAAGGGAAAAACCTTTCCTGGAAAGGTAAGCTACTGCTGAATGGTAATCAGAAATATTGGCTGTTTTATACATGAACTGTTCTTTCTTGGGGTTTGTTTTAAGCAAAGCCATTTTTATCCTGTATCTTCTCTGCTACCCAAAACTTGGAACAATTCACATATAACTTAGCATATGTCTTCCGGTGGTCTTATGTCCTACTAATTAAGGCCTTGCCTTTAATTAATATTTTATTTATGACACCGTAAGTAAAACCACTAGTAAGTTCTAGAAGTATTGCTCTCCCTGTGGCCCTCGCCTCCTCTTCAGGTTACTTACGCTGGGGGTCAGCATTGCTGTTAGCACCTGCTTCGCCTACTAGCGCTGCGGCGGGCCTTCAGCAGAGGAGGTTTGGCCCGATCGGAGAAGAATGAGCCTGATCCTGGCCCTGTCTCTAGAAAAGCTAATTATATGGCTTTTTGTTACTGCGGAGTAGTGTATTATTGTGTTGGGTTTTATTTACCTCTTAACTGGGGAATGGGAGGGAAGGAAAACACAGCTTCTTAATGAGCATTAAGAAACAAAGTGCTACTTTGGAACTGCTAAGGCTTGCAAAAGTAAAGCAAGATTTTCACAAGTGCTTCAAGGATCTATTTTGCTTATCAGGAAAGGTCAGCAAGAGACTCGATCTGTAGCAGGTCTGGCGTCACAAACTAGAGTCTTGTACTTTCAGTGTCTTCTGATTACTCTTCTAATGACAGATACTCAAGGGCAATCTGAAGTCCTTGTTTAAGCTCCAGCTTACATGCCAGCATGCCTGTTCAGATACCCGCATTTGTAAAGCTGGCCTTGGGGAGGGGAGAACACAGCCCTGACTTTTGCCATGCTGGATGATGTAAAATTGCTGAGTGAGGTTAAAAAGCGAGCTGCAATTTTTGAAAGAGGTGTTTATGTGTTTGGAGGGGCGTAGAGTGGAAGACAGAGGAAAGGAGGTGAAAACATCTATTGGATCAAAGTGCCTTGTGGTTTTTGGTGTGTGTTGTTTTGTGGGGGGGTGTTTTTTTTTTTTTTTTTTGTTAGTGTTTCTGATGGGGGTGGTTTTTGTGTGTGTGTGGCCCTCGCCCAAGTGCTCAGCTAGACTGGTAGAAGCCAGCGCACCAAGGTGGACTGGGTTGCTGCCTTTTTGGTGCTTCAAAAATTGAGAGACAGAAACAAAGCACCATGCTACTTTGAAAATCTTCTGGCACAGATTGCTGCATACGATGCTTTTATGTTAATGTTTGTGTATGAAAATGTTAATTATGCCAACAGTACTTTTTAAAGTATTTTTGCACACGTCTGACTTTCCCAAAATGCACCTAACTGCTTATGGGAGGGTGGGGGTGGTGTGTATGTTTTTTGCTTTATATGTCGTTGCATTTCCCATGGTCCTCATCCTGAATGACTGGGGCGGGGCAAATCTCTAGCTTCACAAACTTATATTGCGTGATACTGGTTTCTTGTTACTTGTGGTTCTTCCACTTTCCTAGTCTGCTGAGATGCTACAAATTCCTAAAAAAACCCCAACAAAACAAACAAACAAAAACCAACCAAACAAAACCACAAACTTTTTTTTTAAAAAAGCAACAAAATTAAGTCCTGAATTATATATAGCTGTGTTGATTTGAAACCACCTGATTGATGCAATACAAGTGTCTGTAAGCAACATACTAGCTCCCTCAGAACCAACTTATGATTTAGCTGCTTATTCACGTATTCCTATTGAAACGTAACTACCCTTAGACAAAAGGATATGACCAGTGTAACAACGGAGGTATAGTCATTTTGTGGATTGGAAGCATTTTTTAAAAACACACATGGTAAACCCTGTTACTATGAAGTTTTTGTAAGTAGTTTGGATGGAGGTTTCTGTAGACGCTCCTTTAGATTTCCAGTGATAGCACTACAGTATTTTCCTCTTGTTGGCACTTTTGCACCAACATGTCGGGTAATAAGCTATCTAAAATGATAGGAACCAAGGTCATTTAGCTCTGAACTGCTGCTGCAGGACTGTGGTCAGGAAAAGAATGTGGGACAAAACCAGAGTCTGAGTATCTCAGTTCTTTTTTATTCACAAAGTGATGCCTGCCTTACTCCTTTGGTATTAGCTCCTATGGTTTTCCTTGTATCTAATTTTTTTGGTACATAACTGTTCTGTTTGACAGATGAAACATGAAATTGCTCCCAAATCAGGGTGATTATTTTGATATAACAAGGTTGCTGAGGCAGCAAAATAATAAGCATGTACATATGACTAATGACATCAAAGGACCAACATCAGTGCATGTTCAGTGATAAGCAGGACTAGAATGACTGAAAATGAGTTTGGCCTCTCTTTCTTTGACAGCTCTAGAGCTAATCTTGAATATCAATAGTGAAGGTGTTTGCACACAATCTAGCCAGTTATCTCTGCCAGGAGACACGCAGGCATTAAAGCATGTAAAGTAAGCTTAGATCAGGCATATAAGCGGGAACCTGCTCTAGTATAAATGAGAACCAATTCCATGACTAGATTTCATTTTCAAGGAAATTAGGACATACTGATTTGTAACACTTGGTGCACAGGAATTGAAAAAGCACAGAGCAGGTCCAGCTGTTCTGTATAAACACTCAATGGCCCTTGCTGAAACGATTACCCCTAAAAATACAATTAAATACATCTGATGAAGGAGAAAATATAGGAATCAGTAACTTTCACAGATCTGCTTTCTTCCACATGTAGTTTTAAGAAAAGCTTAATTTCCTCAGGCAATATTAAACAATATTAATAAACTTAACCATTTATCTAGAGAATATGGATGCCTATTTGGATAGTGTATTATTTGAGCCAATTCTTTTCTTTGATGCTGAAGATTATCACAATCTCCTGAGTAAGCCATTTGACCACTAGAACAAGTCTTGCACAATGACAATGAACAAAGATATGCAAATACAACTTAAAATGAAAAGAAACTTGCAAATGCTGCTTTATTTAATTCTTACAATAGGGAGGCACTTTTACATTAAAAAAAAAAAGTGCAGTGGTTTCATTTTAACTACAATACTCTCAAAGAAATGGTGTCTGTGTGGAAAATTAAGTGATTTTTGTTTTCTTTAACTTCGCCTCTATACCATTTATTACACTTAAACAAACAAAACCTAAAAAACAAAACCAATCAAACCTTTTCTTCTATTCGCACAGGCCAACATAAGCATTTAGAGTATGCTGACACTTTGTGTTCCTCATCTCATAATTTCTGTGTGTGTTGTACAAGGCAAAGAGGCGGACCCAAGGGCTTTCCAGAATTCAGTGGTGCTGCTGAGATACTATAAATGACGTCAAAAGTCCCAATTCAGCTCCGCCTTGCATGTAAAAACCTGCTTATTTCAGTCAAGTTATTCTTCAACTTAGGCCCAAATGAAGAATGTGTGTGTTGGGATGGGAGGAGAGCAGGGAGGGATGCTTTCCTGCAGTTATTTCCCCTCCATGGAGTCTGGAGAAATCTAAGCTTTTTTTTACATGCCATCGTAGAAAAGTGAACTAGTAGTTCACTGGCAATTAGCCCGTGGGTGTCAGGCGTACGGGATTCCTGCTGATAAGCAGCTACGTGTGAACCAGTGCAGGACAGATTCGGAGACTGTACTGAGGCTGGCTGGTGTGAAAGTCAGAGCAAATCCTGTATTACATTACACAAGTGGAAAGTGAAGTTAACAATAACCTCAGACAAAGCAATAATGTTGAAAGATGGGTTCAGATTCTGCAATACTGATGTACTAATGTTAGTACTCAACAATGAAAGAAACCTCACTAATGTCACTGGGAGTATCTCTGGAGAAAGGCAATCCTCAAAATGAATATTGTCACAATCCATCCTTCTGTACATACATTTCCACTTCAATGTCTCAAGCGAAGCAAGCAAACCTCAGGTCAAGAATCGTGGCAGATAAATGTCTCTCTGGTTGATGGATGAGAGTATATATTCATTGCTTACAGCAATTCTCTTGCTATTTATTCGGTTTGGGGTTAACAAAGCCACTAGGTGAGCTGCACAGGGAGGCTTCTGGTTGTGTGAAAATGAGTTTGGAAGTGGAAAGAACACTCAAAGGATGTTAAAGAAATATTAGAAATGCTTGAAATGAGCACACCTGAGGAAAACAATACTTTTCTAATTACCTGTTCCATTAAAGTTGGCTGAGCAGAATACGGCTTTACATTCTGATGTTACTGGCAAAATTTAGGCTTTCAAGTATGTCAGAAACACTACTGCAACAGGGCTCTTAAATAAATCTCTTCTGGGGCTCTGTGAATGCAAGGTTGACCTAAATAAAGGGAATATGATGGACTATTAGAGGGTGCTCGTATTGAGGAGTGCTAGATTTGTCACGAATGGAAGAAATGTTTGCCGCAATTTTTCTTAGCCTTACTTAGCAAATTCCAGATTGATGTCCTGTGATGAAGTCCAGAGCTCCTTCTTTCAAGCCATCTCCTCTGTTTTCCAAAATTGCCTGGGGTGTATTTTAACCCACTTTGAAAATAAATTACCTGACTTAATCCAGAACTCTGTTAAAAGTCTAAAGCTGTGTTCCTAAGATAGAAGAATTAAAGCTCAGTATAACAAGAGCTATTTTCAAAAATTGAGCTACTATAAAAAACATTTCAGTTTTGAAGCTACTTTACCTATATTGATACAACTTGTAAACATATTCAGAGAGAGCTTGGTCTCCGGATTCCGGGGTATTTTTCTTTAACCAAAAGCACATATTACAAAACCTGTAGAGATTTCTCTTTGTATGTTATGCTTGGAAAAGTTTAATGAGACTGGTTTTGTTTAGGTTCAAGTACATTACCAAAAATTGCAACTTGTAACTTGGTGCTATATATGAAAAATAGGAAATAAAATTGGTTCTAAACATAACTTCCTGAACTTTCTCTCCAAACTAAATTATTATCAAGGGCATACTATGAACATGGAAGATAAATCTAACTATAAGATTTATCACTGATATGAATAAAAACATTTTACAGCATTTTGATCTTGATTGTCTCTTTACAGTTGAAAAAAGAGGGGATTTTTTCCCCCATTCTATATAAAAGGGAGGAAAAACACGCTGTTGATTATTTTCCTGGCACATCTTGAATAAAATAACACAGGCTTCATTATGGCATGAGACTACGCAAATTATATCTGAAAGAAAAAAGTTAAATTAAGAATTGAATAGTTACTGCATAATCAGTGGGCACGAGTGAGATCTAATATCATTGTGTTTAGAAATGGCTTCATCCAGATCCAGCTGTCTGTTGTTGACCTTCACTTCCATGCAGCCATTATAAAAAGCGGTTACTAACGTAGCACCCAGAGGAACATCTGCACAGAAACACATTAAATTTATTAGGCCAAGGCATGCAAATTCGTATGTATTTTTCAGATTAGCAAAAACATGGGGAATACTCCATTCCCTGTCCATTAGTCAGCCATGGGAGAAAAGAGCAATTTGGCAGGAAACACTTTAGTTCTTCTCCCTTTTCTTTAAGATTGAGATGAAGTCAGTAAAGCTGAGAAAGGTCAGTGAAGTTTGAAATATGCGTTACAAGTCTATTCCCATCCAGAACCCTAACTACATGGATGTTTTTCATAGTAGCGTTTTCTGTATTAACAACAGTGAACCAATAGTTTGTTTCCTGGAGTCCACTGTTCGTGTCCTGACCTACAAACAGATGTTTATGGGTTTAGAGGTCACAGAAAGAACCATCTTGCTTTTGCCAGAAAGCTACTCTGGATGCAAATCTGCAAGTTCTCAGATAAGGGACCCCTGGGAACTCCACTCATTTTACTGCTTCCTTACTGCTTCTTCGAAGTGAATTCACTGTAAAAGACTCACTATATCTGTTGCTCATTTAGGTTCCGTTTGGGTTATGGCAACATCAGATCATGGATACGCTTCCAGGAAACAATACATTAAGCACAAAATAAACCAGGCATTTCTCTGAGGTCTTAGGGTACAACTGGATTCTTACAAGGTAGACATAAGGTGATCCAAGTACCTTCAGCAACTAGAATGAGGATGCCTAGAAGCTGATCTCAAAAGCATCATCTTTTTTTTCAGATGTTAATCATCCTATCCCTCCTAGAAGATGGACTTGATTCTCTGGGGAACAAGAAATGTTGCTTCCTTGTTATTTTATTTTGCTGTAAGCTTAGGTACTGCACAGTTCTGTAGAATTGTGCCCTTCTGCTCTTTCTACTCCAGTGATGGTAACACTGTTGTCATAGAACTGTGCAAGTCTCATTTATCCTACACTGGTTGTGCTGAATTAATTAACAGAGAGGCACACTCCCAACACTGTTACTAGTTTGAAGAAATGTGTATCAAAAATGGGGACTTCTGGTCTTCAGGAAATGCATATTTTTGTTAGGTGCCTTTTAACCATACAGTTCTGTGCACTATAGCTCAGTGTGGGGATTCTTACCTACCTTTTTATACTGCTCAGTAATCCCAGAGGCTTTTCAGGGGTGAGTTAGTGTGAATGAATCGGTGTAAGCCAAACTGGCTGTATACAGGCATCTAAAGTAGTTTTCCTATATTACTTTTTCTGTCTTTGGCAACAGAGGCTGTTGTGGAAGAGGCTCCTTTGGGTAATGTGGGGTTTTTTTGTTGCTTTTTTGTGACCTCTAAGTAGAAACTGTTTACGCATATGGAGTTGTTTTTGTTAATTTGCATCTTGAAGATACCTTTTAACCTTCAGTAAGATGATTACTTACTTTTAAGGAGCAGCAAGTAACTAATACTTGCTTCTTATCTATTTGGGATGCATGACTGAAGCCAAGGTCTTAGCTCTTAAGATGCCAATTACTCTGTGGCTGGCAATGTACTAGAAAGAATCATTTAAATATCACAAAGATGAAGAGGTCTAAAAAATGACTGGAATCTTAGTTATGTTACTATGGCTCAGTTAACCTACTGACTCACCTCTACTAAGTAAATACTGACTTCATCTCTCTCTTAAAAGTGGGCAGGTACTACAAAAACACTGATGCTTACCTATTGTGGTATGTGACAGTACTGCACCATTAATGCATTCTTCTCATTCTACACATTCAATTTGAATTGAACTCACCTGGTTATCTGGTTTCCAAGATATTGCATATCCATTCAAAAACAAGATTAGAGGAGAAATTGTCCTATTTGGTGGCTAAATCTTGTTACATCCTTGATTACTTGTGTATGAAGACTTGTAGAGAACAAGTAAGTTCCAACATACGGGCCTAGATACTGAGGGAAACACCACTTCAGACAGAGGCTGTGGTGCCCGCAGTGCTGCCCTAAACACCTTGCTTCTATTCTGACAAGCAAGTCTAGAGGATGGAACCGTAATTCCAACTTCCCCTGTGTACACTACCTTGGAAGAAATGCCTAAAGATCTCCAATGGATACACAGTTCCTCCCCTCTTTCTACTCCTGTGCACCCTTGTCTCCTGCAGAAGAATCACACTGCAGAGAAAGACCAGCTGTATCTGGGGCAGTGCTGTGACACTGCAGCCTACATGTAAAATGGATTCAATTCAAGACTGTGTTGGTCAAACTCTTAGAATTTCCTTATGAATTGTGACTTATTCTCCCTAAAATAATGTTAATAGAGGATACAGAAAAGCTCTGCCAGTAGTAATGTTTTAACCATGGTGTCTTTTCTCTACCAATTTTCAAGTTTGAGGATCTTAGGCTTTGAAAATTCCTTGTCTGTGGCAATGCTGTTTTTCTTCATGATTCACCCTGAAGTCAAACTATTTTATAGACAAGCATGTGTACACTTCTGTACAAAACAATGCTTGTACATGTCTTCAGACTGGGGATACACTTGCAGCTTGCTTTAAACAAAATATTTGCTGTTTTAACACATTTTCTGTCTCAAAGATTGCCAGCCATCTATTGCCCAGAGTTTAATTGCACTTCTGTGCAATTGCCAGTCTGCACTTCTGACACTTAATTTACTTACAAATGCCTGGTTTTCTTACGTGCTTGATGCAGTTCCTAAATTGTGCCAGCTGGTGGCATTTCAGAAATATGCAATGCTCACTCCTCCCCAGCTCAAAAATCAAGACGTTTTCCAAATGCAAACCTCTAGAGAGAGACTCATGCCTTTTAATGGGCCTAATAATGCTACTGTTGAAAAGCTTGTACAAATAATCAAATTAATGAAAAGAAGTATAATTCACCTGGCAGGCCGCCCAAGTAGGTAACAACAACATTTGCCATCATTGCTTGATGCAGGATAGACAGTTGCTCTGAATTGCTTCTGTCTGTGTGTGAATCAACAGACAGTTCAAGTTGCTGTTTGGTTACAAGAAGTCCAACCAGCACTTTTCTGGGTGTACATAACTTCTTTGATTCCAGATGTGCAACAGTGATGTTTCCAATGGTCACAATGATTTTCTAAATGGAAGAGTGGTAGGTCACAAAAGACGTCACATGTAACTTTAACACACAATGCATTTTATATTTGGAAGTAGAAGCAAAGGAAATGTTAGAGCCACATTTTAAAAACTGGTACCTTAAGTTGGAAAAGTTACCAAAGTTGATGTATAATCATCACCTTTGGTGATGACTGCCATTCATTTATATTCTTAAATTTAAAAGTGAGAATGTTGACCGTAACAAATCTTTGGCTATGGTTCTGAGGTGAAATCCTGTTTCTCTTAAAGGCAAAAGGAGTACTGCTACAGCTTCAAAGGTAACCAAGTGTTCACTCTAGGTTCTCATTTCAGGCAAAAGCATGGATTAGCCATGGTGTATAATCATGCTCTATCTTGGGATGCCTGATGTAAACAGATGTGAATGGAAACTTAAGGACAAAAAGATCTGTTTATAAATTGAAACTAACATGATGCCATTACTATATCATCGTCATTCTACTTCTGTCATATTCCTCTTTCTGCTTCGTGCATTTGGAAGGAAAGGTTAAAGAAACATGATGTAATGGACAGTGCCTGACATAAGAGTGCTTAGTCACTGCTGTAGCAATTGTTAATAGTAATATATTTTCTGCATATCACTATATGATCTAAGTGCTTTCCAAAATATTAATTCAACCTACCAGCTCCACTTCAAGTAAGTGTGAGTAGCTTTTTTTAGTTTGATTTTTCACAAATGGAATAGTAAGTTAAGTGAGACAAAAACAAGAAGTGTGACTTATATGCATATCAGCTGCCAGGATAATTTTAAGATCACCTGTGAGTCAGAAGAGTTAAAGTCCACTATGGACAAAGCAAGAGGCACTGTGTCATTAGAAACCAAGGCAAACATAACACCAGTGTCTGTGGATGGGCGTATAGTCATAGTCACATTTATTAGCCAATCTTCAGCACTGTCAAGATTATCTGTTTTAAAAAGAATAATTGAAATTAATAAATCCATCTGCTAATGAAAAATTAATATGGTGTTAAAAATTAGTATTTAATCTGCTCCCACTGTGGAAAAATTAGTACTAATCTCCAGAAAAAACAGTGAACTTTGGAACTTTTAGAAAGAACTGTAAGTCTAAAAAAAAAAAACAACCCAAAAAAACCCAAACCTACTAAACAAAAAAACCCCCCAAAACCAAACAAACATACTCCCTCCCCCCCAAAACAAAAAAACCACCACAACAACCCCACAAAACCAAAACTTTAATCCTGCATCTTCCCTAATCTTATGTACTTATTGGACCTTTTTTTTTTTTTTGCTACCTTCTCCATTCTAACGTGGAACAGGTGCCACATTCATTAGAGGTCAGTTCAAAATTAAACCCAAAAAACTAATTTACTCATAAATTGCTGCCACTGAGTAGAAGATTGGCAGTTCTCATACACTTTTACATTCCAAAGCAGTTCCACTATTAAAACGGGAATATGCAGGTGCGTAAAGTAAATACGTAGATGGTGCAAATATAATTTCATATGATACATTCATAGTGAAGCTAATATAAAAATTACTATTTAAAGAGGTATTTGTCATCTTTTGTATCTTTTCCTCCAGTGTGTCTTCCCCACCCGCCCAGTCAAATCTAGTAGCTTCTTGATTTCTACGAGTTTCTTGAGGAAGCAGAAATCCTAAAATATGAGGTGAGGTTATATTCCTACACAAAGCCAAATGGGCAGGGAGACAGTGGGTTACAACAGCTCATAGAAGGGCAGCTGCAGGTGTGCGCAGCCTCTCGGATTTGGGGGGGTGGGCGGTGTGAGAACAGCAAGGAGAGGGGGTGAAGTCATGGCAGCAGTGCCAAACACAAAGGTCAGGAGGAGTCATGGCAGCATGGTGTTAGTGAATGAATGGGAGGAAAGTTGAGGACACTTGAATGGCTTAGGAAACTTGATGTAAGTTGGTTGGAAGCATAGAATATAAAAAGCTGGAGAAATCTTTTGAAGTGGGTTAGGGAATTTAAAGAAAAGGCCTGGGATGAAAAGGATTTGGGATCAGAGCAGGGCGGAAGGGCATAGCATTTGGGATCGGGAAGAGTATAATGACAACAGGATTTGGGATGATGCTCAAGAGATGTCTCATTTTGGGCTCTCAGGTGTGCACAAGGAGATCCTGGATTGGAAATTTTGAAATTAGGGCAGGAGGTCAGGCAAGAAAGTTCAGGAAGGAGTAAGAGATGCACCTAAAACCTCTAGATAGGGTGTTCGTTTAGAAGCAGAATTGCATACACAAAACTATCAGCAATCCTTTCCTCCATCCCCAATCTTTTTTCAGTAATATGATAGCCTTCCCCATTGATGAACAGGGGACAGAATTAGATCTTTGAAAAGTGAATGTGTTCAACAGTGCCCATCCTTTGCAAATAAAGAATATGCTTGCTAACTTAAAGCACTTCAGAAATTAAATGGATAACACCAGTATGATCAGAATTCTCATTCAAGCAAACTTCTAACAGAAGTTACAGGAATCATTGCTGGATGCCGTGGTGTATAGCTTAGTTTGCGTGTGTCTCCTTTCTTTCTTTAATAATTCATCAGTTCCATCATCAATCCAGCAAAAAATATAGGAATAGATGGAAAAATACTTACTATAGTTTATCTGAAACTTTGCCATTCCAGTGCCAGGGTAGAAGGACCCTTTCCCCACTGCTACTAAACAGTGTTTGCTTTGTTTTTCTTGAATAACTTCTTTTACACCTGAATGTCCCTGATTCATCAGGTTCCAGGCACGAATGCACCCATCTAGCCGAGGGTTAATCTGTAGAAGAATTATAGCACTAGGTGTTTGCATTCAAAGTTGTTTCAAAAATGTTAATAATAAGGCATTACTTTACATACCAACTTATTTCTGGGTAGCCAGTAATAGCCTTATCAATGCTATAGGTTACAGCACTGATGCTGAGAGAAAACAAATGGCATGCATTTAGTACCTCAGCCTTCAAAAAGGTATTTCTGATTTAATAACATTTCCCATTTTGATGCCAGTGATCTGTACAAAATAGATTGCTTCAATTTTTAAAGCTCGTGCTGTCCTTTTGTTTAGGTCACAATAGCTTTCCTGTAGCTGAAAGACAATGATCACTAGCACTGTTCCTTGTTCAAGGTTTCATCTTCTCCTTGTACCAAAGTACAAAGAAATTTCTGGAATTACTTTCCATTGGGTAAGGGGATGTTGTTGTATTGCTTCATATTTTTTCTCTCTGCTTCACTTTTGAGCAAAAATGGATTTTAAAATAAAAAAAGGGTGCAGCCTCTACTGTGCAGTTACTTTTTGCCTCTCTGTTTAGGCTGCCTATTAGTTTGAGGGCTCCTGGACTGAGAAGCAGATAATCCAACAACATGACTGTACCCATCCCCAGCATAAGGCAGAGCTGTTGAGGATGGAAGACTGAAAGAATCATGGCCCTTGTCTAGCCTGGGCTATTATAAAACCTATTAAAAATGAAAGCTCATTGTGCTGCCTGCACAGTGAATTCCATACCTATTCAGAGCCTAGCAAAAGCCAGCACCAGAAACATGAATCACTCTGAAATGCTCTCGCAGCAGAAGTGGTGGTGATTTAAGGAATCTTGAAGCTGTATTAGGAAACGGGCTACAGAATCCTGAAAGATTAGATCGTAAGTGCTGTGTTTTTATAACTGAAGCCTAACTGAAGACAGACTACAAAGCTTCAGGCATGTTTATTTTCAAAATAGTGGTTTAATAACCTGATTTTCATTTTCTAAATGGATTCCATGCCACTCTTCCTTCCTCTGTGACTAAGTAAACAATACAAAAACAAACAAATAACACAACAGTATTAATCAACATTACTCTTATTATTTCGGTTACCTGTTTAACAAGAGTGTTGCCCACTTTGCGAGGTAATCCTGCAATGTACACCTTAGTTTCCAAGAAACCCTGTGATTGTTTAAAAAGCGTTCCTGGGCTGTTAATACTCATCACGGCTTCTTTAGCTATTTTTACACTGATGCTGTGTTCTAGTTCTTCAACTGATATCTAGAATTAAATACAAATAATCACATATATACACACACAAACATGTAGAATATTTTAAATGCTAATTACATATACCTATATGAAGCATTACTAATGATTCTCTAAACATCTAACTTGTAAAATAGTTTTAATGCAGTCAACATTTACAGTGTATTTAAATTTGAATCATGACAACTGTCCATATTCATGGACACCCACAGGAGGATGATCTTCCATTCCACCCCCACCCTACCCCTGGGAAAACCCATGCAGCTGATTAGTTTGCTTTATGTGCTGTAGAGTTTGCAAGAAGCTGATTTCTACAGTTGCTCTATATCCAATCCACATTTGGCATACAGTTCTCCATGCCACTGCAATCTGCTACAGAGGACTGAATCTTCAGATGGGACATAGACAAAATAGGTTCAACGCTTGCTCCCGCTATTATTAGGCATTGAAGTAGATTTTTAATCTCAAGGAAGTTGTACTGAACGGAAATAGGAGGTCTACACAGAATCCTAACTTTTCTTGCCCCCCTTTAAAAACAAACAAACAAAACCTAACATGTTAATAATTTGGTGTGATTTATAGATGGTGTAAGTGAGCAAGGCCTTTCATCTTGGGTATGCAAGCTTGAACAACAAGATGGATTTCTGGTCTAGCAAATGTAAAACTTGCTCTCTAGACAAAGTATCTAATAACTATGCACTTGACCATGCAATCACACTTTTTAATATTCTGCTGCTTCCTTTTTCATGATTACAAAGAGTAATTCCTATGTTGCCAGTTAGTGGTAATTACCTCTTTCTCGATCGTAAACAGGTGCCACGCTTTCCCAGATGTAAGGCACTCTGCATTTCCTGGTTGATTTTTAAATCTGGGGTTTGAGGGCATCATTTTAAGCCTTTTTAATAGTTGCTTAGTTTTCTCCTACTTTACTTATCAAAACAGGATGTTCCCATAGTGGGTAAAAGGAAGGAAAGGGGAGAGGAAAACCCAGCTTACTATATGCCACAGTCCATCATTAATGGCTTTGCCTCCACTAGTGACTTTTGTTCCAAATTCATTCTTGAACTGAATTTCAATCTTCCCATCACGAAGAGCAAGCAAGATCCATGCTGTATTGTCAAGGGATTCTGCATAAAGTATAACTCCCTCTGCATCATATGTCCGGAAATCAAATTCTGCTGTAAATCTGTGTTGTGAAGAAGGAATCTTAATAAGAAGACAGGAAACATGAAATACTATATAGCCTAGGATAACTCTTAATAGGGTAAAAAGAAGTTCATAGATATTAACCTTTTGGTAACGCTGTATCTAAGCAGTTGTGATACTTGCACACAATTAGCCAAAAGCAGAATCTAATGTAAGCCTTGTTCATCCGAATCTAGTGAAAAGTTTTGAGATTAATGTTGAGATTAATGCCCTGAGCTGGGATTTGAAAGAGCCTTCATTCAATTCCCAAATCTGCTATGAGCTTTATATGTGAAGGATATCGCACCCCCTTGAGTAAGAAGATAGATGTAATATTCCTATTGCATTTCGTGGAGATGCAATGCAGAAAAAACACGTGATCCATGATGTGCTTCAGTACAACAGGGTTGCCAAGTGCTGCCATACAATGGTTATAACCTAGCAATTTGCTTTGGTCACTGCTGCCTTTTATATGTCATTCTCTAATTCGAGGATTTGTTGTCTGGATCTTGGCAGTTGGTTGAATGTGTATATGTAGCAAAATTATGGTTTACATTATAGTACCTGTACAGTGGAAGAGAGAGAGTATATGTACACTGAAAAACAGTCCTTGTCTCCTAGAACTTTTGGACTAGATAAAATAGATTAAGGATGAAAGGAGGAAACAAAGCATTTGGAAGTTAAGATCTGATGAAGACAGCAAAAGAAACAAGTAAGGGAGCCGTAATTAAGAACTCGGGTCGCTTTCACTCTCAGTCTTTTCTTTCTCCACTAGATGTCATTGTCTCTCATGCAGACCCACAGAAAAATCATTCTGTATTTACAGAGAGACTGTTAAGATAGCTTCAAACATTTATCATCTTATGAAAGGTCTTTCAGGAGAGCATTAATGACTGGTCAACTTGGAATAGAGGCAGAGGAAAAAGTTCTCAATATTTATGTCCTTCTGTAAAGTTCTGAGGCTCTGGGGATCACCAGCTCAACAGCTGCTGCTCCTGTTACCTTCAAATTGTTCAGTCACTAAGTTAAGGAATGCTGCAATTTCAGCTGCCGCAGTGAAGAAGTCCAAGAGTAATAAAGGGGACACTACCATTAGCAATTGTTCTGACAGCTGTAAAGGAAATCATACAGACGATGCTCTAGACAAGGTACCATCCTCTATCGGTGTCCTTGGAACACCCTGTGAAAGGAAGCATGGAGGTGGGGGGGAAGCATTGGCCTGGTTTTGTTTCTCAGCAGCATGTGTGTAGCATGTCACAGTTTCTGCCCAGAGCAGAAGTGAAATAGCAGCAACATCCAAACAAAAGCCATTCCCATATATAACTGGAAGCTGTACAGTAATTATTTTCCTATAACACCTGAATTTTACGTTGAGAATTCTAAATGCCTTCCTATATCTGTATCACTGCCTCCCACCTTCCCCAGCCCCTCTTACTCTTTCCTTCAGGGGAAGAGTAAGCTTCTGTCATGAGGAAGCACCAATCCGTTTGCTCTCTTGTGCACAAACCAATGGGACCTCTGCCTATTAAACTTACTGCCCTCAATCCTCTTCCTTTTTTGCCCATTCAAGTCTGGATCTCTCTGAACTCTTTCTCCCAGTCCATACACCTCTCCCTACAACAGCACTGGTAACCAGGACTGTAATGGGTGGAAGACTCCAACTCTGTTATTCGTAGATATGATCACAGCTGAATGCCAATGGTGCATGTCTTGCCCCAGCTGTGCACTGTTTCCTGGCTGGGACACAGCTGCTACTGCCTCCTACTTGCTTCTGAGGTATCTGGAAGAAACTTGCTGATCTTTTAGTTTTGCCATGTAAGCGAGCTGCTGTCTATACTGATGAGGTGGCTCAAGGACACGGTACAACTGATAAGAGATGCTGTAAACTGATGCCAGGCACATTACTCTTGCCTGTTCACTTTCAAATGACTCCAGCTTCCTGTGAGTGCTAGTATACGTAGGAAACGGAGTTAATTCATTCTCCATATAAAGGTATCTTAACCAGCGGGGAGACGGTGATATAGTTTATGCATGCAACGCACTGTTACTAAACCCTCAGAAAATTAATGGAAACAAATGTCCATAATTTCAATGCATACTTTTATCAATAGCAAATGCTTACCTCGTGACATTTGGCAATTTAAACTTTAAGTACAGAACAGGAATTCCTATAAATTGCTCTGCCAGGTAAAGCAGTTCATAATTCTTTTCAAGGTTCAGTGGGATACATGCAGTAACAGACTGAAAATGGTAGAGAATAAAAAAAGCTGTTAATGCATTGTGATAGTTCATGAAGCAACTCCTATTGTGTTGGCTGTTAGCCTGTCTTGTTTTGTGTTGTTTTTTTTTTTTTTTAAAACAATGGCTTACCTCTGTGTTTTCTTTTTTTTTTTTCCTTTTTTTAAACTTGAATACCTATGTATAAATGAAGGGGTGTGTTTTTCTTTTTGCTTGAAATGTCCATTTATTTAAGCTGTTGGAGGATAATTCAGGTTGAAACACAGTTCTGGTGGATTGCAACTAATATTTAAATATTTAGTATTTGAATCAAGAATTCATATCTTTCATCAGGCACTTTCCTTTCACCAGAGACCTGTGACACCCACCCACTAGGGTCCTGCCAGGCTCCATTATTAAAGTTGTCTGGAATTTAAACCTGACCAGGTGTTAGAAAGGAATGAGGCCAGAGCTGTGTCTTGAGAATTAAAAAAAAAAAAAAAAAAATCACCTTTTATTTTCTTTATCAATATTGATGTACAACTACTCATAGCTGAACAATCTCTAGTACTACTAGAATAATTCACCTGGAATTAAAAGTAACAATTTACAAGTGGATTAAGTAACAGATTAAAAGAAAATGTTTCTATCTGGCTGTTCCTTGAATGTACTTGTCCTATTTGAGCTCTGGAAAGGAATGTTGATGAAATCAACACCACAATTCCTGCTGGAATAGCACTGAATTAATATTTCTAAGAACTGCTAGTGGGGATATGAAGCTCTTAAGACTACATTCTCAGGAAAACTGTAAGAGAAGCTCTAAGTATCTGTGGCAACTGAAAGTTCTACAACAGTATGTAAAACTGGGATTAATCCTAATGCTCTAGCCAAAGTCAATGTGAGTAATCACAGCCAACTGCAATCGCAATGAGAGGGGAAAAAAATGGTGCTTATTCTTTCAGGTATTCATCTACCTGAAGTTTTAAACAAAGATGTTTATATCCAGGAATAATGTGTATTTTATGTGTGGTGCAAGTTTAAACTAGTAAAACATTCAGTAAACAAATGTCAGGTATCCATTCTAAGGCATTGTTGAATTCTCTGTTTTCTGAAACCGTGATGTTATAATTAAAGTAGTATCTACAGTTTTGTTTTAAAAGTAAAGCACTCATTTCCTTTAGGTACAGGGAACTAGGCTCTGCATGTGGAGAGAGGTGGGAAGACTTTTCCAGAATGTTGTTTAGAGCACCTCTCTCATTGACTAGTAGGAGCCTAAAAGTCTCTTCGATCTAAAGTTATCCCTCAAAACACCTCTTGAATATCTTCTATATAATAGCAGTATAGTAGTCCTACAGAAGAGAACGATCAAGAATAGGTGTGAAGGGCTTTTCTGTTCTAAAGACATGCTTTACTTTGGTAAAAGTTAACAATGCAGTTCCCAAACTCTGACTTTCTGTCATCTGTATTCACGATGCAGCAGTTTCATTAAACATATAGGTGTTCATCCTGAATTTTGTGGCTACTTCATTTTATGTCTGCTAGTGTCACTAGTCTTTGGACTGCATATATTTTCAGCTGATTAAACTACTTTTTTTCCAATTAAAAGGCCTGAAACTAACTTCCAGATAGAGTTAATCACTTTTGAACAACTGTATTGAAAATAACATGTAATGAGGCTAGAAGATGCTTTTCCTATTTCATGAATAAGCAAAATGAAATATAATGACTGCAAGTGTTGTTCAGATATTAAATTTCAGAAAGTACAAATAAGATCTAATACATACATGCTAGAACTTGCATCAGACCTTGTTCCTACAAGTTAAGCCCAATTTTGTTATACTGTGTTAGAGGTGTTTTTTTGTTGGCAGTTATCTGAGCTCACCTTGCATAACAAGTCTCAGCCTGCCTGAACCTTTCAAAGTATACAGAGAACCATTCACAAGAAAATCCTTGCACTGGGATTCTCCAAAGTTCCATGTTTTCTGCTACTAAGAAGTGTAAATTTTCAAACTGAGCAGGAACAGCCCATTTTGGCGTGAGATGCTCTTCAATTGGCAAGTATTACTAAGTGCTTTTTCTTAAGCTATGGCAGATGAGAACTGTGGAAAACAACCCAGTTTGTTCAACCCAAACAGGCAAAGCATAGAGTAATTCTGAAAGAGTGAGTGAAAACTTTTGTGCAGCCTAAGAAAAACCTCAGAACATATGGACAAATGGAGTATTCTGGCTCTGAGTAAGCTGAACAGGAATTATTTGTTTGATAGTAGAAAGCTGGGGCTTATTTTGGAAGCAGCAGGGAATAAAGATGACTGGCTAAGGCAAGCTTCTCTTGACAGGATTCCTGTAAATGAGCATGCATGAACTGAACGGCATCCAAATCCCTACCGGCTCTGCTTCGTGAGCCAAACCACAGCTCAGAGTCCCCAGCACTTTCTCAGAAATTTTGAGTCAGTTCTCAAATAGCTTCCTATTTTCCTTAATCTAATCCTGTCATCAAGAAATATGTGATTTTCCGCAAGGAATTTTACATAGTGCAGTTTTACCTCACAATTCTTCATGTCCTTAGAGAGCTTGAACCCTTTCTTGCCATCACAATAGCAGCTATAACTTCCTGGAGAGTTTACACAGAGTTGAGCACAAACATTTTCAGCACATTCATCAATATCTAGGAGAAATGGAAGCATACAGAAAGACTTATTCAGATTATTCATGGCACAGACTGAAAACAAACACAATAAATTAATGGAATAATGGACAAGATGGGTTCTCTGGCACAACATGAATCCACTAGGTGACCGCTGCTAAGCTAAACTAATGCTAATGGATGTCTCCTATGTAAAATTTACAATCCAGAATTACCTGCTAGGTGTATAAAACCTAGTAATCTGATAGAGGCCTTGTGTGCAGAGCTGGAGAAAATTTGGTGTGATTTGTGAGGCAGTAAGAAGCTGAGCTGTAAGGTGGCTGAATTAGGGAGAGAGACCTCAATAAATCACTGCCATTTATGGCAGAAATTTCCCTACAGATGTCATGAGAACTTAGAGTATTAAGAGTATATATGGCAAGTATGTAGAGAAAGGACGTGCTTTATTCACATAAAACCAAAATGATCTCAGGGCAAAATACCTTTTAAAATAACATACAATAATCTCATGTATAAGTAAGTTTCAGACAGCATCTATTTGTGGAGACCAATCTGATTTGAGCTGTGAATAAGCCCTACAGATGTCATGAGAACTTAGAGTATTAAGAGTATATATGGCAAGTATGTAGAGAAAGGACGTGCTTTATTCACATAAAACCAAAATGATCTCAGGGCAAAATACCTTTTAAAATAACATACAATAATCTCATGTATAAGTAAGTTTCAGACAGCATCTATTTGTGGAGACCAATCTGATTTGAGCTGTGAATAAGCTAAACCAAGTAAAGGAACTTCATTTTCTATTTAGTAGGCTGTACACCATAAATAATTTAGAAATAAAAGGCTGTGTAAAACGCCAATGTAACTGTTAAATTTCCAATATAGAAACAAACAAAATCTTTCCTGGATAAGAGACTAACGAGAGTGATTTTGGGCCTCAGATTAAAGAAACTGCAATACTTGTTTTGAGACAAATGGCCCTTCTAGTGGGAATGAACAATTTTGTACTAATATGTGCATTTTAAAAATCTGAATAGAATTAGAATAGACTATTTTAGTTGGAAGGGACCTACAACGATCATCTAGTCCAACTGCCTGACCACTTCAGGGCTGACCAAAAGTTAAAGCATGTTGTTAAGAGCATTGTCCAAATGCCTCTTAAACACTGACAGGCTTGGGCCATCAACCACCTCTCTAGGAAGCCTGTTCCAGTGTTTGACCTCCCTCTTGGTGCAGAAATGCTTCCTAATGTCCAGTCTAAGCCTCCCCTGGCGCAGCTTTGAACCATTCCCACGCGTCCTGTCATTGGATACCAGGGAGAAGAGATCAGCACCTCCCTTTCCACCTCCCCTCCTTGGGAAGCTGCAGAGAGCAATGAGGTCACCCCTCAGCCTCCTTTTCTCCAAACTGGACAAGACCAAAGTCCTTAGCTGCTCCTTATAGGACATGCTTTCTAGCCCTTCCACCAGCTTTGTTGCCCTTCTCTGGACTCATTCAAGGACCTTCACATCCTTCTTAAATGGCGAGGCCCAGAACTGCACACAGTACTCAAGGTGAGGCCACACCAATGCTGAATACAGTGGGATAATCACCTCTCTTGTCCGGCTGGTTATACTGTCTTTGATGCATCCCAGGATGCGGTTTGCCCTCTTGGCTGCCAGGGCACGCTGCTGACTCATATTGAGCCTGGTGTCGACCAGCACCCCCAGAGCCCTTTCTGCAGGGCTGCTCTCCAGCCACTCCTCTCCCAATTTATACTTGTGCCCAGTGTTACTCCGTCCCAGGTGCAGTTAAATTTCATCCCATTAATCACAGCCCAATGCTCCAATCTATCTAGATCCTTCTGCAAGGCCTCTCATCCCTCAGGAAGGTCAACAGCACCTCCCAGTTTGGTACCATCAGCGAACTTGCTAATCGTGCATTCAACTCCTGCATCCAGATCATTGATAAATATATTGAACAGCACTGGCCCTAGAACTGAACCTTGAGAAACACCGCTGGTAACCGGTCACAGCCAGATGTAGCCCCATTCACTACAACCCTTTGAGCCCTGCCCTTCAGCCAGTTCTTCACCCAGCACACCATGTACCTGCTCATCCCACAGTTGGGACAGCTTGTCCAGAAGGATGCTGTGAGGGACAGTATCAAAAACCTTTCTAAAATCCAGAAAGGCTACATCCACCGCCTTCCCTTCATCCACTAGCAGGTGACCTTATCATAGAGGGCTATCAAATTAGTTAAACAGGACTTTCCCTTTGTGAACCCATGTTGACTGTGCCTGATGATTGCATTATTCTTTAAATGCCTTTCAATAGCACCCAGTATGGTCTTCTCCATAATTCTTCCAGGTACTGAGGTTAGACTAACAGGTCTGTAGTTTCCTGGGTCTTCCCTCACGCCCTTTTTGTAGAATGAAATAACATTGTCTAGCTTCCAGGCAGCAGGGACCTCCCTAGACTCCAAAGACCTTTGGTAGATGATTTAGAAGGGTCCTGCCATAACATCCGCTAGCTTCTTCAGAACTCCGGGATGAATCCCATCAGGCCCCATGGACTTGTGAACATTCAGCTGATACAGTTTCAGTGTCCACAAATGGAAAGTCATTGTTCCCACACTTGTGGTCCTCTGACTCAAGGGACCGGGTAGCCCAAGGTCTATCAGTATTATTAAAGGCTGAGGCAAAAAATGCATAGAATGCCTCTGCTTTTTCTTCATCCCTATTAGATCACTAATAGTGAGCTCAAACCAACTGCTTTGTACATGGTTCCACTGCCTGTCCTGGGAGGGTTCTCTGAGGATACACTGGGTCATAAAGACACATTGAAGACCTTAAGCCTTTGACCAGCAAGCGTTGCCAGAATGTTTTCCTTTCTGGGGAAAGGTTTGAGACATATTGGAAGACAGTTCCTAAAAATATAACTGGAGAGTTGATGACTGGCTTTTTGGATTGTTCAAGTTCTAACTGGTTGCAGGTACATAGCTGCAGAAAAGGTTACATAGGAGATTCTTCTGCTTCTCTCTACTCCTTCAAGTGCCTCATCCATCCAAATGTCAGCTAAGTGAGTAAAAGGAATCGTTAATATAGAAATATAGTACTGGATGTTTCTTCAAGTTGATCTGACATTTTGCAAATGTTTTCTGTGTTGCATCCGCATAACTTGAATTAGTTTTAAATAATGAGCATATAAATTAAATTGTGACTGTGTCTGAAATTACAGTCTCTTCAGAGGTGAATGTTTGCTAGTGTTGAGTTTTGCCTTTGCTCATATTTGAGAAAGCTGTCCTATTAAAAAGTGTTACTCTGCATGTATATAGGTATGCACATATGCATAGACTCTTGCAACTGTAAATTACCAACCCTCTACTCATGGTTTAATACCTATTTCATTCATTATGCCCTCTGTCACCTGTAGTACTACTTAGGGGAGTAAGATACAAGGGCGGGTTGCAACATCTAAGTCTATATTTTGGAGTCTTACTCAAACTTCTTTCCATACGCTTCAGAGATAATGCTTGCACATTAGTCACGTGGCAGGATTTGGTCAGTTAAGAAATATTTTGCTGATGCACATGTACAACTGATGGACCCCTCCATTTCCTCCAGCTACAGCTAGATTACCTCTTACTCTTTTGTTTGGCACGTGTACTCCTTTCCATTTAGAAATCATTAAACTGTTCATGGTCTTGATGGGGGTTGCCTAACCTAGTAGATTGCAAGCTCAGCTTGGTGAAAGGGATTCTGCTGTGAAAGTCACTTCCTCATAATTTCTGGTGACTGGCAATCTGATGTCTATTTAAAAGAAGACTACAAGATGATGTGTTACAACGTGAAGCTGCTTTTGTCACTGTTGTTTTTGCATCCTAGCAAACATGCAAATAAGGCAATGACAAAATCCAAAATGTAGCCTAGCCATACTATGCAATGGCTAGGCTATGGGTGAAGAAAACACTTTCTGTGTCCTTTCCTATCCTGCCTGTTTTGGGGAAGAAAAAAAAAAAAATATATTCTGTTTATGATCATTTTGGGATGTGAAAAGGCCAAGAAATCCACCTAGGCCTAAGCACACAGAGAGAAGGAAAAAAAACCACAAATCAATTCTGTAGCCCGCTTCACTGTGGAGATGTAAAGGGAAATAAAAAATTTAACACCTCCCAAGAGGAATTGGAGTAGAGAGACCCTGCGAAGCACCTCTCTTTCCACGCCCTTCCCAGAGGAGCATGACTCTATCTAGACACTTTAGGAGGCATTGTTCTCTGAGAAAGATCCTGTACCACTGCCAGAACTTGAACACCTAGCAGTACAAAAGTAAAACGACAAGCACTGGCTAACCAGTAGCACTAGAGCAAATCTGAGTGCTGAAATCTCTGAAAGCAGCAGTTAATTTTGAGCACATTCCTCAGGCCCAGGGCCTGCAGACAAACAGAGACTTAGGAAGTTATTATGAAAGCTTATCACACAGTTTGACAGATGAATTTCTATCATTAAATCAATTACTCAGAGACTTGTACCAGTCTTGCGGGGGTGTAAATTTCCATTACCAAAATGAACCTACGGCTCAAGGGTAAGGTCTCACTCCAGAGCATACTATAGCAGCAGAGGGACAGGCAAGCTTCTTGGATAGGTATGAAGTCTCCTTCCTCAGCAGACATTCTGGAATCCCTGATCAGTCCAAATGGCAGGATCTCCCCATGTGGAGCTAATAGTCTTGCTACTGAAATGCTGACATGCACAGGCTGGAGGGGACCAAGTTCTTGAGAGGTTTGTTTTAATCATTTATGCTATAATTATCCTGTTTTTTTTTTTCTTCCAAGTTGCAGTCAGCATCTTTGCATGTTTGTTTGAGCTATTTCAAAGGCTTCCCACAGATGTGTCCAAATGTCAGTCCCACATCATGAAACACTCTGCAGAAGCTATTCGTGCAAACCTATGAATCTGAGCAGCATCCTGGGTTCATACAGCTGCTTTTAGTGGAAGGCTAAAATAGCTTGCTTTGGATAAGTTGCTAAGATATAATAAAATCAGCCACAGAGGAGCTGCATACCATGTCCTAGAAAGGAGCTACTCTATATAATGCTAGGCAAATATGGTGACTTCCTCAGAGCATGGATGTGGGTAGGCAGGGTTTTGTGTGTGTTAAACAATTCATGTGGGAAGGGGAAACCCTGATTCCTTGTCTCAAATTTTCAGACTATGTGCTAGGGAGGGTCTAATACCTGAAATACAGACATACTCTCTGCTGTTTGATTAACTGGCTCAGTCACTTCTTTAAGAGAAGTTCCCCTTCAGAGAAGGAAGAAGAATATGGGGAAAGACATGTCAAAACTTAGGTCATTCTTTAAAATAAGGGTTCAGCTCGGTTTGTCTCCTCAACACTGACTGCAAGACAGACCCCTCTAGTACAACAAACATGCTTACTCATTCCCACTATCCCTTTTTTGGCAAGGTGTTTGAAATTGCAAAGGTGGTTAGAAGAAGATAATCAAATTCTGTATCTAAAATTGTATGGCTTCTATGAAACAAAGACTGGACTGTACAGATATCTTCCATTGATAGTGTCTCCTAAAAGGTGGGGATGAAGAACTGTAACAACATTCTCCTAGGAATGGGTGAGGAAAAAAAAAACCAAACCCTCTTCTATTCCACTCATTGTATCTGTCATCATAGAGATAGTTGTGCATAAATGTATGTAAACTTATTTTTCTAATAAGTATAGTTGAATTTGGCCACTTACATGCAATATGACAATGAAAAGCTAATGTCATTTAGTATTTCTGTAAGGCTACTTTCCTGTCAGTCTGCACAATCCTGTCCTTAGATAGGATTTGGTGACTCATTTAATGTGGTTACAAGGTCTGAAATCTTAGCAGCATAATCTTCCTTCGAGGAGGTAAGACTTTGCTCGTTTTAATGTCCTCATCTTGCAACCTTCTGGAATCCATGTTTCAGAAGAAAAACAATACTAAAATTCAATTTGATGCAACCCATGTATCTGCAGAAAGTACTAAGAGGAGCGAGAATTAGATTAATTACTGTGAAGTTTTTCTCATTTCAGTGTACACAGGGACACAAAATTGTCAGTAACGTTTTAATCCCATAGTAACTGGACAAAGAGTAGACATCTGAGTATGTAATCATTAACACTGTGCAAAGCTTTGTCACAAGAAAGCTCCATGAAAAGCCATGGAACAAAAGATTCACAGCCAGCAAGAAGCTACTTTTGTGTCCTTTTGAGCAATACCATAAAGGCAGGATTTAAAATAAAAATCAGTCACTGATGTATTTTTCTTAAACTGGCAATGTAGAAAATTCCTCTTCATAGTAAAACTCTAGGAGCTTATGTATCTCTTCTACAACTGAAATTTAATTTCTGATGTGTGTACTAAACAGAAACTTTAAAAAGTAGAGAGAAATAAAATACGTTCTAGGACAATTATGCAAATACTTTCAATACTTGAAAAAGTTATTTTATGATGGTCTGTGTATGAATGGCTTTTTGCCGCTTTACTGCTAGCTATCAGTACTTTTCAACTTCGCTGTGATTGTTACAGAACTTTGTTTTGAAATTCTTTCTTCCCGATTTTCATTTCAGAAAAGAATACTCCTGAGGAAACATTCTTTTGGGGCAGGTCCTTTTTTCATAGCTCCTTTTCTGGATATTTAAGAACGTTTTTATTCTAAACGTGGAGTCTTTATACAAAATCTTTTATACAACTGTCATACTGTCATTTCCAGCCTAGAATGGAGATCAGTTCACTCTAATGCTGTTTTTTTCTAGCATAACTAGATACCCCGAGGAAGGATTAGACGAATGTTATTTTAAATGGAATTCAATGTCCCCAGTGAAAAGCCCTGGCCAATATCTGGCCAGACTGAGCCCCTGGCCATGGAGGGCTAAATAAGCACCTAAACAGCCTATCAGATGGATAAAGACAAGCTTTTTAGGTTTTTGAGACAACTTGATTAAGCATGGTTTTCATTTCTGGCAATTATCTTTTTATAAATCTTCATAGCTGTCTTGCCCAGTTTGGAATTACCAAATAAGTACTTTTAATTGCTTTTGCTGTAACTTGTCTTGAAATAGGCATATATATTAAACTGATTGACATCAAACATTCCATCCTTACAACTGTAACGATGCTTAAAAACAAAGTACGACACTCTAGTAAATGTCCAGATCCTCAACACATTGCTCCAAGTCATCTGAAAGAAACATGCTAGCTGGTTTGAGAGCTTGGACAGAAAGTCCTCTCTACAGTGGGACAGGAGAGCTCCCATGAACTGAGAAAGTTATCTGGCATACAGCAGGACATGGGAGTATACCATAAAACCCTACAACGTCTGGGAGTAAGTCACTGCAACTGTATACACTGCATGTAATATACAGCCTGACTGAACCTCTGAAAGAACAAACAATTGAGTCGTATTGTAATAAACAATATCAAGATGAATACACCACTAGATGAGATGCTGGAGTTTGGTATAGCTGTGGATTAAAAAAAAAAAAAAAAAAAAAAAGAAAAAGGGAAGATAAAAGAAAGAGAAAAAGGAGGACGGGGGGAAAGACCTACCTTCACAGTTCTTGGATGTTGAATTATATGTGTAGCCTTGTGCACATTCACATTCATATTTCCCCAGGGTGTTTTTACAGATGGCTGTCCCACAGATGTTTGGATGTAACACACATTCATTTATATCTAGAAATACAAACAAGTTATTAAAAACAAGTCACTCTCTTGCTTACCATTTTTTTCCTAACCCTATCCAAAACTGTGCAAACTGAGACTAGCAAACTGGCTCATTCTTCCTAGGTCTACCATGCTTTCATAGCCGTAGCTATAGCCGTAAAGATTTCCAGAGGTCTCTGAAAGGCACTTCTGCATGCCCTCAGTGAAAAAAACGTATTCTCTGCCTGCCTGCCTTTCTCATTCTCTCATGTGTTCTATGGATAACAGGAAAAGGGATGCATGTCCAGGAAGGCAGAGAGATAAACAGCCTGCAGATTTCCTATAAGCTAAACCAGACTGCATAATAAAATCCTATCTTAGAAAAAGACATCCAGAAAGACAAGAGATAATCCTATCGGAGTTTCTTACATGCTACGATCCATTCACGTCACAATCGTCTTTTAATTGGCTATGCTGACAGATGTTCAAGTCCCTCACTGTCTCTCCATCCCTCAAACCATTTTAGTCTACATCTTCTGTGTTGTTTCCAATTTTTCAATGTCATTTTCAAAGTGCAGATGTGACAACTGGATGCAGCATATAGTATCAGTCTTACTAAATACCTTGTAGACAGAAAAATATCAGATTCCTAGTAGTACTTCAATTCCCACTTGTATGTGGAGGGATCATTCTAGTTTTCTCTGTGGTTTTGTAGTAGTTGTGGAAATGGTGCTGCACAGGGAGAACAGATTCTGCCACTGGCTTGCTAGGACTCCCAAAACGTTTTTTTAAGTCAAAGCTGTCCTGAATTTGGCCTACTTCTCTACAGTTACTGTGTGTACTCCAAATTCCTAGGTGTATAATTTTGTAGTTGAATGTAATGAAACACTTAAATCCAGTTTATCAAATGACCGAACTAGTACTCTAGGTACTAAGGTATATTAGTGTATTTTTATCTTTGCGTATTTTTTTAACCAACTTTTCCAGTATCTTTCCAAGAATTACAGAGATTCTAACCAACTCATCTTCTTGCCCTTTTTGACAAAACAGCAATCTTCTGCTCTTCTGGAATTTCTTTGGAAATTATTCATTCACAAAAAAAAAATAGACTAAAGGAAGTGTCAGCAGGAGATGGCCCTCAAGTCTGGCCTCTGATAGTATTTGACATTATCCAAAACTTTTGGCATAATTCAGCGATAAAATATGTAACACTAAAATGGAATGAGGTTGTATTTTTTTCTAACTATGCAGTAAGAATTACTAATTATGTTAATACATAGTCTTTATCTGAAATAGAATGAAGCATGTAGGTCATGGCCAATAATAACAGACACAAGCATGTACAGAAAAAAATTATGCTGGGTAAGTAAAAGACAAATCTTTCTCTCCATTAAGAGCATTTTCAGATTCATTAGTAGTTTCTTCTCCAATGAACTTCAAACTCCCTAAAGAGCAGCATCACTAATTAGGAGTGATTCAGCCTAAACCACTGTGTACCAGACAGGATTTCCATGGTAACAGTGTTAGCTGGTCACACCACTCTAGATTCTTGTTTCAGCATGCTTAAAGGGTACGTGAAACTGGTTAGTGACCAAAACGGAGCTTTACAGAGCTCTAGGAAGGAAGCAGAATCTAATATACAGTCGTCTTCTTTTTTCTTCTTCTTTTTTTCTTTTTCTTTTCTTTTTTTTTCCTGAATTGATTTCAACCCACCTCAGTTCCTTGATCTGGTTCACTATACGGTTGTCCAAATGCTTGCAGTGGTATAAGGCTGCAGGTGGAATGAGTAGCCAGGTTGAAGCAGGACTGCGTCTTTCAGAGGCAATGCAAGCTTCTGCTGACTTAGGGCATTTATGGAACTCCTGGACTAAATTCTTTCCTCTCTAGTCAACTGTCAATATGCTGTCATGTAATGATGTTCTCCTTAAGTCTCACTTCCTACCTCCACAATCCCGTTTATTTGAATGCATGAAGTAGCCGTCTTCACATAAACAACGGTAGCTTCCAGGTAAATTGGAACAGCGTTGGCTACAACCTCCATTTAAGTCTTCACATTCATTTATATCTAGAAGAAAAACAAAATAAAAATCTCTGCTCAGGAAAAGGCATTCATTGACCAACTGTGTGGGGGTAGGTATACTTAAAGATCTGATACTATTCAATAATAGTAGAACTATAATTGTGTTCCTGAGAACTAACATCATAATGAGATTAGAGACTATACCTTCTTCACATTTGTCTCCTTGCCATCCTGGTTTACAGACACATGTATATGTGGCTTGTCCATCTATGCAATCCTTATATCCATCTTCATGGCACGGCAGAGGGCTACACTGGTTTGAAATTTCTGTGGGATGGAAAACATTGGAAATACTTGTTATTTGAGGCTATTTTTCCTCAAGAATCAGTTTAGTCTTTCTTCTCTTCCCACAGGTACCTTTCACCTTTCACAAAATAGGAAAAGGCTTGATGCATAACATCAAGTACCCATACAACCATCTTGCTACTAATTCTGTTAGCAAGAATTTGCAAGTGACTGAGAAAAAACAAAGCCACCAGTACTTTTTCTTTGTAAGACAGAAAACAACTAGAAAACAAATGAGTCGCTAAGCCACGTTAATCCCTGCAAGATGTGCCCAAATGCAGACTTGATACTATTCTCCTTACATTTTAAGGACATATTTCACTTTTTAAAGAACAGTGCTCTGCCCCGTCATATTACCACAAATTTCACTAGAAATACCAAAGTTTCAAGATTACCAAGAATTCAAGATTACAGAGATCAGTTTCTCTGTTCAAGGAGGGTCACATTTACAGAGAAACTAACACCTCAGGTTGCCTTGGCTGTCCAGGTCCTGTGGGTAGACTGGATACATCAATGTCTAACACTGTCATCTTTTACAAATATTAACTTCAATGACAAACAAATTTGCATCATGAAGAGTAACTGAAGACTATACATGCTGGCAAGACCTCAGAAAGCAAGGCTCAAAATACATAGACTGGGGCAGAGAACACAGAATTCACTGCCTTTTTTGCTCTAACCAAAACACATAAAGTTCTTTTAACTTTTGCCACCATTTTCATAATTTTACATCAGCATACCACATAAGGCATCATTCTATTTGTGTCTTCTGAATATGCTGGTAGCTTTATGGACTATTTTTCTGCAGGCCTCCAAACATTACAAATATATTGTTTCTACTTTAAAGTTACATTCTTATAAAGCTCTGGAATGTCATTCTGAGGCATGCTTTTAAAAAAAGTAGTGTCCTAAAAGAACAGATAGCAGAATGAAAAGAAGAAAGGATTTAGTGATGTTCAGATTCAAAAAAGTGGAATGAAAGGCAAGTGTTCCTGCAGACCAAAACTTGCTACAATTCTGTACGTAAGGCCTCACTGGATCTCTTAAACGTTTCTTACTTCATTCAAAAGAACTAAAGAACTGAGCTGCATAGAATTGTAAGTTTAGCTTTCTCTGACTAAGAAAGCTTAACAAAATCTGTGTTAGTATATTTGTCAATTAAATCTACTTCCAATTAAATTCTGCTGCAAGTAAAACCAAAAGCCCAGGGGCCAGCCAAGCTCCAAAACTATAGAGCCCCTCTAGAATAAGTGCTGCATGTCATGTAATATTCATATTGCAGACCAAAGGAGTCCAGTTGCAGATGAAGACTGACAGAAGAAATTGTGCAGAAGAAATGAAAAGAATGGGGTTTATGTATGGATCCTTCATAGCAATTTCCAAATGTAAGTTCTAGAACTCCCTACATTTTTTTTCTCTTTTTTGGTTGTTTACTGCTTTTGTAGGTCCAGGAACAAGTGTGTGAACTAAGCTTGGTATAAGCAAAGCATTTCATAAGTGATAGATGTAGGAGTTACCCTTAGAGTTTGCAACTGGGGAACAAACTTGACTGTAAATGTTTCTGAGAAAAAGGCAGCGATGGCTTCTGAGAGTCTGAACTGAGAGATGACAGATTGGGTTGGCAGTGTGAAACACAAGTAGATGGAATGAGGTGAATTAAGGATATAAGGGGCAAAATGAGGAAACCAATGAATGAAAAAAGGAGAACTGGTGAAATACACTAGAGGAAAAAGACAAGACAGGATGGACAGGACTTGATGGACAAAGGGGTTATGTTAATATCACAAATATCTTTGTCGCAACGAAAACATTTTAAAAAATTGTTATATAGTTTTAATGGGAATTTTAAATTCCACTTTCTCAGCAGTAGCTCCTTTCCAGAAATGTGCATAAATTTCCTTGAACATTTAAGCCTTAGAAACACTTGAGAATTTTATGCGTACTCTCTTTACTTCTCCTTTATCCTGGTGACTGACCAATAGTAACAGTTTTTTTAATTTGATTTTATAATGTGAACCTAAATGGAGAAATAAAATGACTATCAAGTAATCTAGTTGTTTTCACTGGATAATACAGAAACACTGCAAATTCACACAACTCTGCTAAATCCTCTCCTCCCAGGACCTCTAATTAGATTGAGAAAGAGTGATATGAATGCAAATATATTTTAGTTTGTGACAGCAGTCACGTTGGCCAAGTGATCTGGAAAATATGTTCATCCATGACCATGTGCAGTGTAATTATTAAGAATTTTTTTGCCTTCCATTGCTTTCAATGACAAAAACCGTATCAGATGGTTAAGTATCCCTATTCAAACTAACTGAAAGCTTCTTTGACGTAACCAGACTGTAAAGGTTTAAGAGGTTTAGAGAGATGTTTCAGCTGTGACAAGTAGGAAATATGGTACAGATTGCTTCCTATGAATTTACTAGAAAAAACACAATTCACACTAGACTTATGAATGTATAGGAGTGAAAAATAAAATATTTGAGCAACATCACAGGTTTCATGCTTTGTGACCTTCTTGTGTCTGGAGTCAATGACTGTTTTCCAGCTAATATTTGAATTTTTCAGTTAGTAATGTTACCTACTTCATGAAGAGCTACAGTGTAACTATGGGCCAAAGAGTGGTAGAAAGGAGAATTAACCTGATGGTCCCTTCCCTTAACGGACAGGACTTGCTAGATGCAAAGAGTCAGGCATAACTATTAAAGCCATGGTAGAGTACAGAGGACATCCTAGGGAACATCGGTGTGTTGGTGTAGGACACTCTTCTATGTTTCCGGAAGAATTCTGCCTTCCATTTTGCAGATAATTATGTTTCCTTTCCAGCATGCTTTATAAAGTTAAAAACAGTCACTTATACCACTTGCTCTGAAAACGCTCTGTTTCACCTAATATGTTTTGGTCAATTTCTGTTCCAGATAATTGAGTTTGCCTGAGTTAAATGGAGATTCGTCTCTTTTTCTGCTTCTGTGAACTGCTTTCTAGCCATGTACGTGTGTGTTCTTAGATCCGAGTGCATTAGGTAAAGTATCTAACAGCAGCACTTACCATTGACACAAGCCCTCAGGTCAGCTGGAGAATCTGGAGTAACTGCAGTAACCCTGAAAACCCCTGCTCGATGGGAGGCAAGGCAGCCTGCAAATACAAACCCACACAATCTGCTTATGATACAAACACTCATTTAGACCGAAGTTACAACAGCTTATGCATGGCATCTTCAAAGAGTCTGTTCTCACAGCTTGAATTAGAAAACTTGTCTGGGCATATTAAGGACAGCTGATCACAGACCAACCTTCTGAGTGTCTCTGCTAGGATCTAAGCACACTGAACTGCCTAGGAGCTACTAGGCATTATAATCAGCACGGAAATCATTCAAACGCTATGGGCAGAGTAACTAAACTAGTATTACCCAAATAAGATGACCAGTGAATGATATACTAGAGTTGTTCAGATTTTTTGTACTTACTTAAATATTTGGGATAAAAATATTCCTGCAGAAAGAAAAGAAAAATAAAGAGTAAGAAAAATTTAAGGTAGATAGAATTACAGCAAAATTCTGAATACGTTCTAAAATATATTTGTATTATAACTGTAAAAGAAGCAAAAAAGAAAAAGTCACTTTGACTCATAGAATATAGAACAAATTTTCTATATCACTGCTGTTTAGGCAGCAGGTTATTTAATAAACACAAGGCTGACTAGAGAGATTAAGATACTGCACTGAATTGGACACTGTCAAAGCAAAGGAAATGAAAATGAATTGGGTGTCAAAATGACTTTGAAAACTGTCTCTTTGAATGGGAGGATCTTGCCCAATGTTGTTATTGGATGCAGAGCAGCCTCCTTTATTTCCCTTTTTCACCCTAAAATAAACAAAAACCCCTGGAATAGGTTGAACATCTCACATGCAATTAATTCCAAATAAAGTGAAAAGCGTTGTTAAAAATTGTTAAAAACAAATGATTATTGATTACTGAAATAATTTCATCTTAACAAGCTGAATATCCAAATACATGCAATTTTATCAAAGACAGAACATGGAACCGATACCTAGTTTGCAAAACAAGAATTCATTTTAACTACATATATTTTGTAATAACCCTTTTATAGTACAAAACTGAATGAAATATACCTAATACTAAATAATGTGAGGTGGGAATGAACGGAGGAACAGAGTTCTCCCCACTAGGAAAAAAGCTCGCAGTAATATGTCCAATCCGTTCATTAAAAGGACTGCGTTGCCATGCATCCTCTGTGTAAAATTTTAATTGAAGCCAACAGAGTTTCCCCACATGGAATGCTTGCAGACAACTGTGGTCTAAAACTGGTGATCCGTACTTGAAATTAAAATAATATCTACTCAACTATTCTCTTTGCTTATACAGTCTTCATTATTAACTGTGCAGGTTCTATACACAAAAGAATTTCAAACCAGTTCTTGGTCCGCATGGTGGGATTTTTTTAGCTTTGCAGTGTGAATTCTATGTACTTCTAGCTTTCCCTCTGAAAAGAACTACTGTCTACCTCGTAGATATTCAGCAGATACTTACAGTTTCAGGATTATTTTCAAAGATTTCCCTGGCTTCCTCCTTGTTGCATAATTCTTCAATGCACTCTCTTTCTAAATTTCCCTTCTTACTTTCTTCCATAAAAGAATTTGCTCGACGTTTCCTCACCAGGAACTGAGAGGCATACTGCTGGGATAAAACTTTGTAGAAACAAAGGAGCTCTGTTGTTTATTTACAGCTGAAAAACACTGAACAAATATGAGACTCTAACACAAAAATCTGAATTAAATGCTTACTCAGGAGTTGCTGTTTGCTATCATTTTGAAAAATGGGCAAGAAACCCTAGGATTCTGTTTTCTGTATGTCGGGTAGCTGTTTCTGACCAAAAAAATCCTGAGTCACCAAAAAAAAGTTTGTGCAATGCTATGCCTGAAGCATAATTTAAATGTCATATTCAGGACAAGATTTTTTTTTTTTTTAGCTATGGATATTCATATTAGATTCATATTTAGATATGTGACAAATAAGTGGCAAAAAGCTGTGAAGCCTTTTATATTACCTGTTTCAGTGATCTAGAAGTAAATATTCTGATCCTATTTAACTTAAGTGAGTCCAGAAATGTGTCTCATAAAATCAAGCTACCTGTTATATGTAATTAACATAAGTGTTATTTTATTTTTCAGAACTCTAAAGAACAAGACAAAGTAAAATGATATCCTGAGAAATATCAAGGCAAACAACCTACAAATACATTCACTTTTTACCAAGATAAAATACAATCCTAGCTAACTTTTATATTTCAGATCCATCATGTTATGTGTCATTACTTAATTTTCATGTATCTTGTTATTGTAATTTTATTGCCTTTTACACAAATCGTAAACAAGTAAGTGAGTTGAGAAATTACATTAAAAATTAAAGATGTCTGTTTGCTTCGACGTTCTTTGTAGAGCAGACAACTCTACAGGAACAGCAACTAAATTAGACTGCCTCATTAGTTTAACTTCTGGACATACCTTGTCATTAAGAGAAAAATGGATGAGCATAATTGGAAAAAGTCCAGCTCATAGGGTTAGAGAGCATGGCTAACATATGTTAACTAGAGAGCACCACACTTCTACACCCGCACTTCTTTTATCAGCCTTTGCACAACTTAACCTCTCAGACTAGCACAACTGTGTGAGAGTCATGACACCTGCAGTGCAAACCAGATACGGTGTACATACATATTCATCACTAGTCTACGAAGAAGATTGATTCAAGCAGACATAGTCAATTCAGTACTGTTTATGAGCACGTAATACCTAAAACCCAGAGCATCTTTATGAGACATGCCAGCAGCCAAGTGTCAAAGAACAGCCTCCCAACGTCTGTGCACCAATGGGAAAGAAAAAACTTAAAAAGCTTATTAGAAAGAGTAGCTAATGAGGCCCAGAACTTGAAGCTAGAATAGCTTTCAGGTAGCAGATGTAACTAAAACTGCACCATCCTAAACACGTTATTAAAGGTCTCTACCAAGTGACAGGGAACACAACTGAAGCACTCTGAAGTGCTGCAACACTGGATAATGACCTGAAGAAACCCTTCTGTTACAGCATCCTAAAAGTATTTCATGTGGGATAAGCTTGTCACTTCAAATTGATCTACTTGCTTTCATTCTGGTAAGACTGATCTTTCTGGTAAGGCAATAGATAAGATTTCCTGAGCATAAGGTGGACATACTACACCATACCTCCAAAGTTTTGAAACACACCTTTATCTCAGAGAACAAACAGCAAGTTGCTTAGAAATGCAAGGAGGAGACGTCAGCTTGTGCCCTTCCCCACTACTAAGTATATGAGCAGGCAACCGCCTGGGATTTGAGGATTCATTTCTTCTTATTTACATGTTGATCTACATGGGGGTCTTACTGGAGAATGGAAAGAACTCTCTAAGGTGAAGACTGATCCTCAAGGACACTGCTTGGAGAAAGAAAAGTCTTATCTTACATTCTGGGCCTCCCCCTTCCAGAAATTCTTGGCACAAAAGAAATGATTCAAGCCTGCTTTCCTCTTTACTGTTTTCCACTTCCACAAATCATAAGCACATCTCAAGGGCTGTTAACAATGTATTTCAAGAGCTGGATTTGGATTCTCTTCGTACAGCAGCTAGGAGGAGCAATGAATTGGAAACTGCTGCAACTGTGGATCTCGTAGATCTTCTCTCTCAACCCATGAGCCCACCGCTATAATATTGTCTGCTGGGAGATTGGTAAAAAGCACCGTGAGATGACAGGGCAAGAACGGCCTCATGAGAGCTCTTCTGAGCCCTAACCACACTGGAAAGCAGAAAAACATTTTGATAATTTATTTATCACCAACTGTTGCTAGCAATGTCATTTTAATTCATTTGGGTATATGGCTGTATTTGTCATTATATAAAAGCAGACTAATAAGAAGGATGCAGAAAGTCCATCTGTTCTGAGGCAAGAGGAGTGACAACAAAATAGTAAAACTGTGCATTGCACCTGCTGATTTTGTTTACATTGGAGGTTACTACCAGTGCAAGCACGCTGACATAGCTCTGGGGCAGAGGCTCTGTGGTGTAGATGAGGCCTAATTCACAGCTGACTTCAAACAATCTTGACCTTTAGCTACATAATTCTAATTTTGACACATTTTTTCAGTAAACGAAGTCCAAGAAAATTCCAAGTAAGTGGAGGACAAGTTCTCGAGGACATTACGCCAGATCTAACACTACCTACTTCATGTTTTGAATACAGTGGGGTAACGGAAATGGGTCTATACCCCTACATCACAGCAGTTTACCCTTCTCTTAAGCTGATTTCCTATGACTTTTGAGTTTAAATAAGACATGTGACTCAATGCAAATTCCTATTTTTTTTACAAGTATTTCAATTCACATGCATAGAATTAGTAGTGTATTTATTCAACTGTTTTTTCCTGACAAAGATTGTGATAGGACTTTTATTTAAAAAAAAAAAAAATCCTCACTGCTGCTGCTGCCAGTTTGATTACAGGAAACTCCAGCACACTTGACCCTGCCAAACCAATAGTTAACCCTTAACAAACTCGGTGTGTTTCATTTGATTATCACTGAAGCCTCATGGAAGTCCTAGCTATGATTTCAACAGGTGTTGTACAGACACTGTGCAGTGATTACTTATCAAGCACTTGTTTAGAAGTAATGCTACTGAAAAAGAAATGGGGGGAGAGGATGAGATTCAGTGGTTCCTTACAGCTGTTGTGTAGTGCAGATGCAACTATAAACCTATGTTAAGTGGGCTAGTTAAGCACAGCTTAGATCTGCTTACCTAATACCCCAGTCATAGAAAGCAGTTGTAGCCTACTAGTGCTCTCTCTTAGAAACTCACAAGACCCAATAAACTGAACAGAAAGGAAATGTGATGCCACTGTAGAAAATGGCATCTTATTTGTACAGCTGTTTGTTACATTGCAATCAGCTCCATAATTCCAGCGACTAGAGCCTCCTGAAATGCTCATCAGTGACATAAGCTTTATGCAGCCAACAAAATAAAGCCAACCAACTACTAACGTTTGCCTGTTCCTTCTCCATCTTTTCCAAAACTTGTCCCTCGCTGGATGTTGGACCAAAATGCAGCTGCACTAAGACTAGCAGAGAGGCAACTTTCCTTTATAATTACTGAATGGTACAAGCTACACTATTAAGATCTTTCTGTTTTCTGGGGTTTTTTTACCTGTCCCAGAAATCCCTGGCATTATTCAGAGCCAGGGATAGGAAACTGGACTACATCAGCCACAGAAATTTTGCACGAGTAGGACAACTTCTAGTTTCCCGCTGTTCATAAAAGAGAAAACTGACAAGGTGTGCAGTGGGGGAGATAAATGGAACAGAAAATGTGATGAAAACAGAGAAATTAACATGACAAAAGATTTACTAGAAAATCTATTTTTTAGGAACTGTTCAAAAATAAGTTATAAAATGAACTTTCATCTTTCCATACCGTTCCTTTCATAGCCAGAATCCCTAGCATTCAAACACTAGTCTGACTAGTAAACATTAGGTTTTTCTTCTGCCTGTTTAATCATTAGTAAAACACGTCAGAAACAGGCTTACTTTGAGCTGCAATTCTGCTTGTTCCAGATACACATTGTCTTCTTTTAGTACTAAGCTCAAAGACTTTCGTGTCAAAGACATAAGCTTTGATTATTTTTTTTTTTTAATCTATATGTGACAGCAAGTAGTTCTTATGTAGGCCGATAGGTCTGAACTTATCAAGAGAGTCAGGGAGTCAGGGCTGCTTGCCTGGACTCCACAATAGTGCCACTCTCCTGAGACTATGATCTATCGAGTATTTTTCTTCCAAGCCAATCAAGCGCTATTTGAAGGCACACATTCCCCTGAGCTGCAGAGCTGCATTTTTCCCGGAGCCGCGACCGGCCCCAAGTTACAGTTCAGCTGCCCCAACAGCAACGGCTGGCTTCGAGAAAGCTCCCAAAACCGACGACATCAAGGCGCCCCACCACGCGGTGGCTCAGTGGCACCTACCCGGGAAGGGAGGACGCGACGCACCGGACCGCTGGGGAGGGCCGCCCGTACCGCACC